TGTGTTCTTTCAGGTTATCTTGCTAATAACGGGCTAATAACGATAATCATGGCAACAACAATAATCCAGGGAGCCTAAGTTTCAATAAATGTTACTGTGCCAGGAGTTCTGCGATCCTAACCAGAACCATGTCATCTGGAGGACACACTAGATATTAATATATTGACACAGGATTGTTATAGTCCCCCGAGGCCACAGCTTCAAGGCTCAGGCACAAGCCTGAGGAACTATTAGAAAGTGCTGGAACCTTCAGAAGGAGCCTCAAGTGGGACCCAGTGAGGTCACTGAGGGGCGGGTGCCCTTGAAAGGGACACCAGCACCTTGCCTTGCCCTTGCTTGCATCTGCAGCACCAAGAGGCATGCAGCTTTGTGTCACCATGCGCTCCCTGTCAAGATACTCTGCCTTACCACAGGCCCACAGTGACAAGGCCAGAGGTTTAGATGACCTAAAGCCTTTCAAAGCATGAGTCAAACAAACATTTCCTTCTTTTAAGTTATTTACCTCAGTTATTTAGTCACAGTGATAGAAAGTCGACTATCACCAAGCCTGCAGTACCCCAAAGCCAATGCTTCCCCAAATAAACGTGAATACAATATTATCTTTTGGTGAGGCTTTTACGTGAGCCTTAACATGTAAATACACCTAAGGTGCTGGGATTCTACTGTAGGATATAACTTAGGGAGTGCCTCCCATCTATTAGAGGTGATGTAAGGCTATTTGCTATAATGTTTGTAACAGGAAAAACAAAAGGAAGAAAGGAAAGTGGGCCAGGGAGATGTCTCAGTAGAATAAGTGCTTCCCTGGCAAGTGCAAGAGCCTGAGTTCAATCCACAGTTCCACCAAAAAAAGAAAGAGAGAAAGAAAGAAAGAAAGAAAGAAAGAAAGAAAGAAAGAAAGAAAGAAAGAAAGAAAGAAAGAACAGAAGGAATGAAGGGAGGGAGGGAGGGAGAGAAGGAGAGAGGGAGAAAGGGAAGGGAGAAAAGGAGAGGGGAGGGGAGGAGAAGGGAGGGGAGGGAGGGAGGAAGGGAGGGAGGGTGAAGAAATCGTTATGCTCATAGTATCAAATACTATCAAGCAATTAAAATGAAGTATGTCAGTAGGGAGGTATAGATTGATAAAAAAAATAATAATAACATTGAGTGAAAAAAGTCAACACAGAATACTTCTAAATGAGTATTTGTTATATTAATCTTGGTATTTTCTTTTCAAGAACCTTTTAATTTAAAGAGCCTATGAAATTAAAATTGTTTCCTGTACTTTCTTTTGTGTTGGTGAACAGTGCTATATCACTTTGTTTTCTTATTTTTTGCATTTTGGTGGCATTTGCAGGCAAAAATGACTACGATTTTTTTTTTTTTTTTGTATTTATGTATTTGGTACAGGGTCTCACAGTGCAGCTCTGGACTCATAGCGACCCTCCTGTTTTCAGCCTTCCCAGGGCTGGGATTACAGGCATGTGCCACCATGCCCGGACTCAGCATGTCCTGGGGGTGGGGCCGGCACGGCATGCAGGATCTTGCTGGCCCTACTATATCAATTTAATTCACTATGTTCACACAAAATTGATTCTAAAAGGAGGGAAATATTTAATATGCATATTCCTATAGTTAATGTAATAATAGTAGCAAATTAGTTTAAATTAGAAAGTAACCTTTCATTCCCAACCGACAATATTTCTTCTTTCCCTTCATGTTTATATTGATGAATTTCCAGTTAGTTTTTCTTAGTAATCTTGGAAGGAGCGGTCCATCAACTGAATCTGTCTACCAGGTATTTATTCTGTACACAGTAAACTTGTATAAATTTATAATCTGAAAGATTAAGTCCTTTTCACAGGGATTTTTTCTTTTCTTTTTTTCTTTAACTTATGAATTTGGTAAAGGGTCTCACTACATAGCTCTGACTCATAGTGATCCTCCTGCTTCAGCCTCTCCAGCACAGGGACTATAAGCATGCGCCACCACACCTGGTCTCGATGGCCGGCTCAGTGTGCCCGTGGGCTGGGCTGGCATGACATGTGGTGCCAAGAGCAAACTCCGGTCCCTTCATGTTCCTCGCCTGCTGAGCTATCTCACTGGCCCTTCTTTTGGCTTCTAGATATCACTTAATTCACAGCCGTTTGCTTGGTACCCGGAGGCTTAAAAAAAAGTGGGTGAACTGGAATCAACTATATTCAAAGGTAAATACAAGAGTTAGATAAAATGTTTATGCAAGTTCTTGTGTTCTTTATACTTGTATAAACTTTATAACTTATGTAAACATTAAAGAATATATGGTTGGGCATGGTGACACACACCTGTAATCCCAGCACTCAGGAGGCTGAGGCAGGAGGATCAATGGGAGTTCAAGGCCAGCCTGAGTTATAAAATGAGTTCAAGGCCAGCCTGGACTACACAATGAAACTCTGTCTCCAAAATACGAAAAGAAAATAACAAAAACAATAAAAATTAATGAACTTATTATAAGCCATCTTTAAAGCCAGTTTTATACAGAAAGCTGGTATTTCACGACAAATGCCCTTTCCAAATATTTCCATAGTTCATGTTTACAAAAGCAGCTGATAGCTGTTTGTCTGCCATCTGGGTCCTTTCTGAAAATGAAGGCAGAAGAAAGAGAAAAGAAACCCTGGCAAGGAGCTGCGCGTGCTCCCTGCTGCACCTTTCCGAAGCTTAGTGGTGGGATGGGGAGGCTGTGGGCAAGGGGTTCTTCACAAAGCAGAGTACAGAAAAAGTTACAGACAGCTCTCAGGGCACAGCAAGCATTTGAGAGAAGCTGGGAACAGAAATGCAAAGTGAGGGCAAAGCTCAATCAATGCAAGAAGAGAACACCTCGCCTTGGGCTCACCACGGTTACACGTTTCAGCCTGACCCGCCTTATCCGCACGGCGGACTGAAGAGATGGCTTCAAACCCAGATGTTTGAAACACCAGTTTTACGGTCTTAGGGTTAAATGCAATTTATGATCGCATGTGTCATACATAATTGTTTTCATGCATATTCTTTTAAAGTGATAAATAGGTCAATATTTTTATCATTTTTGGCTTTCATCCTGCTAGCAATACATTTTGTCATTATGCTGTCCTTGAAATGCAATGTGTATATATTCCTATGCCTATTTATCACTTTAAATCCATTGATGTTTGCATAAAACATTTAATATAAAACAGGGAACTGTTTAATATCCATATTTTACAATCTCCCTTTCTCACTATATGATCGGAACCAGTGTCACATCAGTAACAGTATGTCAACACCTGTTAAAGTTTAAAAAAAAAAAATTAAAAACCTCCATCTCTGTCCTTCCCCAAGTTAGTCTGATTATCTATGTTATATTTTCATTCTTGTCCACACATACTATATGTTTATTCCACATTTTTATTTGGCTATATCTACACATTTTATGACACCTTACATATATTTTTTATTAAGATTATACACATAGAAAACCTTTCTTTGGGTTTTTAGACTACTGAGAATTTTTTTCCTTTTCAATTATTTGGTGTTATAAAAATTTTTTTATAAATCATCTTCAGGGCCTCTATTCTTTTTGTTACATTATTCCTCTTGGGAAAAAAAATATTCAGAAATGGGCCGCAGCATGAAAGCTTCTAGTAAATCATAGCCTTGAGCAAGGCAGTCAACACAGTGGCTTCACTGAAATATTTTTAATTTTAGATTTTTAAAGAAGGTTTCCCCGTTGCTAATAGAATTTCCTCTCAGTCATAATTTCCACACTTTGGTCGTCAGGGTAATTGCTTATGCAGACTCTACAAAGCGGCTAACGCGCACAGAGTCAAGTGACTTTCCCAAGCTAAAAGCTGTGGAACAGGAATGAAATATAGGGCGCTTCCACTATTCTGCACTTCCTTTGCCTTCCTCCCTTTCAAATCAAAATCTTCAAGGTGAAAATCCTCCAGCTTCCTTAATTTTACTTTTATTCGTATGTGTGAGGGATTTTCAGTCTCCAGTCTTGACCAGGACTCCAGGCTGTAGGGCTTTGCTTGTAGAAATTATTGGAATGGATTCATCAAGCAGTAACGTGCAAGCATATGTCCAATCCTACAGAACTATGTCTGTTAATCTGAACAAGAGAGGGCTAGGGAGATAGCT